AACGGCTTTAGGGCGGGGATGCTCGAAGTGAATAAGTATGTTTTTGGGGTTTAAGGTTTAAGCGTTTTTGGGTTTGGGGGGTTTAAGGTTTCAGCCTTTTTTTTTTTTGGTGGTTTTGGTGGTTTAAGCTTTAAGGGTTTTGTGGTTTAGGGTTTTAAGGTTTAAGGTCAAAGCTTTTGGGGTTCAGGGTTTGGAGGGTGCAAACCAGAGTTACCTCCAGGTAATATCCTGCAGTCATAGGGGGATCCATTCCTCCAGTCCCTACGAATAACCGGGTTTTGAAATGACTATGAGGCGGCCTACGGTTCAAACCCTAAACCCTAAGAACCCTAAAGAATAAGCGAGGTAATCTCCCAGAGTCAAACACTGTCCTGTCAGGCTTCTGAACATCCAATGGCTTCCGGTTTTCACATTGGCTTACTGAAGGTTAATGAAAGAAGGGAATATAGTAAACAGGGATCAGATTCCCTTGTTCCCTACCTTCAAGGGTGTCAGGCTTGTGTCCCTAGGGTTGTACCCGTGGGTTTTGGGATCCTTTAAAGAGACCTTAGGGGATTACATTGGCTCATATAAAGGCTATATTAGGGCCATATTGGTGGAACCTCTTGGGGGACGACCTTTGGCGTACAACGAAAGAACCCTTGATAATTGAGATAGCAGAGAATCAAATGAAACAGAGAAGAAACAATGAAAGTCAAGCTGGAAGTATATAGTGGCTTAACTAATAGTTATATACCGGGTACCGTTAGGGCTAGGCAGGGAAAGCCCTAGTTCTCACTTTGGCCCAGTACTGTGCAAACGCGCGCTATAGTGTGCATGCACGGAAAACTCCCCAACCTTTGCCGGCCCGACCCTAGAACCTAAGCATAATTCAAGCTTAACCCTGAACCCTAACCTGAACCCTAAACCCTAAACGCTAAACAGTAGTTTCCATTTCCTTCTCCATTACCCAATAAAGATCCACGAGTCATGTTGTACTTCTGCAACATGACTCGGGTCGCACAGCGTGAGCCCTCCGGTTGTATGAGCTGTGGTCTAAACTCCTCAAAGGGGAGTTGTGTAGGGTTCAGGGTTTAGGGGGAATATGATAGGGGCTATTAAAGGGGATACTAGGAGGTTAGACTATAGGTTAAATAATACCCAACTTGCTAGTTCCCGGTTCTTTGGTATCATGGTGGTAAGGGTACCTCAACTAGACCTCAAAACGATGTTGGCAATCATTTCGGCCCTTACAGCGCCCTGATATAGACTTCCAAAAACTATAATCCTGACTCTAGGGACCCCAATAAAGTACACAAAATTTTGGGAAACCCCAAATTGTTGTGGCTTGGCCATGACGGACTGCAACCATGTTAGGGGTATGGTGGATCTCAAAAATCCTGCATGACCTTAAGTTTCTTATGCCCAACTAAAGACTTCATTATCCCTTCTAGCTACTAGTGCAGGGTGGGGGGTTCCACCACGGTATTCTAGTATGCTAAGATCATGCAGATCTGATAGTACCACCAGTATAGTATAAACCCTTATATAAACCCAGTTTCCAGGTTATTTCCCATATTCTTTTCGATTATTACAGGGTGGGGGGTCCACCTAGAGTAGAGGGTTTTGAAAAACCAGCCTCCAAGGTAGGATCTTGTCATGTTGCCCAAATTGGGGGGGCCCCAATATAGACCCTGATCTGGTAGAATCCTTTGTGCGGGGAACCCCAAAAAAGGTAATCCTAACTTTGGGAAACCCCATATGAGCATGATGATGTTCTGATATTGGGGTTGGGGTGACCAGGGTAAGTTTCCAAAGATGGGGGTCCGTTTTCGAGGGTCACTACATTGCAATGGGGTCCGTATTGGTGTCCCGAGTTCATGCAAATGCTACACCCTAAACCCCCGAACTGTGTCCTGTACCCTAAGCCCCTGAACCCTGACTCCTCGAACCCTAAATCCCAAATGCCACACCCCTAAGAAAATTTGAGGTTTGGGGCTCAGGGTCTGTATATGGCCCCTCCTGCGTAGATAGAATATGGTTTTGGGTATATTAGAATAAGATCCCCACATACCCCCTTATTCTATCTGCTTCAGGGGGACTATGCCCTAAACCCTAAACCCTAAACCCTAATTTTTTCTTTTCTATTATCCCAATATAGCCCTGTAACCCCTAGACTACTTCAGGGGGACTCTAACCTAAGACCCTACAGGATGGGTATCCTTCACAAGCTCCTCGAGGAGGTCCACGGGGAACTTGGTTTAGGGTTTAGAGTTCAGGATTTAGGGTTCAGGGTTTAGGACGTGGGGGTTTCCCAAAATTGGGGTCCCAATACTAAGGACTAGAGTAGTTTGGGGGTCTATATTGGGGCCCCCCTATTTTTGGGAAACTACCACTTGGTGACATGGGTGATTCTCAAAATTCTGGCCGTGCAGTTTGCTTGAAGGGTCAGGGTCGGTTAGTTAGTATACTTATAGTTCCTATAGGCCAGATAATAACGCCATTTATCCACAGTATTAAGTTACTAACTAAGTGCCCTGCCCCTCCAAGCAGGGTTTATGTTAGCTTCTACTTAGAAGCACATGCAAGGCAGATACCTAGAGTCCTTCAGGACACTCCCCCCGTCCATTTTGAGAAGGCTCCTTGGTTACCCTCATTACTAGCCTTTATAAGTCCCAGAGTTTGGAGTTTTGGCTTTTGCCACTTCTGCTCTGGGCATGGGACTTCGCACCGTTGATGGGCGAAATCCTGTATGACATTGTTCATGCTTCTGTACCAAAATTCGGCAGGTCATGCAGAGCTCAATCCATCAGCCATACTTTACCGCATGTGGTTCTGAAATGTGGCATATTGACAGGAAATTGGCTGGAGGGGCTCCCCCATATGCCCCCCGACCCGGAAACGTACAATCATGTCGGGAAATGCTGGCCAGGTGTGCAGATTTGCTGTTATGGCTTTTGAGGATGCATGTGATGCCTTTGGGAAAGACCTCTGCCACTGCGGCATCAGGGATCAGGGTCCCTTTTTTCCACCACAGAATATTAGACAAGTATTTCTTGTCTGGATCCGTAGAGAGGGCGCCACACGTGAGAGAAACCCTCTACGACGGAGGGTATGTTGAACTTCTATCAGGTTCCCCTCTCAACCTGCTCACGGTGAAGCTCGCTACGCAAGACCGTAGTAGGCGTATCAAGATTTCATACAGGCGTTCGTGGCGACTGTTACCATGTGCTTCGTTTTTGGGGAGATACACACACACCGTATCCCCTAACGTAGAATAACACTGTATCCCCTTTTGGGTGTGGTACCTCGTAAGAAGAACGAAATTTACGTACCAGGTTAAAGAACCAATCAATACTCACTTGGGATTCAGCCTTGCTTGTCTGAAAGGCGTTCAAAAGAAGATGCGGGGCTCAAGCTTCGGCACGGCACAGCGTGTAGAGCCCGATGATCCATGTTTGGAAAGTTTCTGGGGAAGAGGTGGCAGCCATTGCCATGGACGATTTGAGGGATTGGAGTGGAACAGTCTACGTGCGCAGGCTGAAGGAACATTTACAGCGCCTTTCTGGTATCCCTCGCTTTAGGCAAGAGTTGGTTATGCAGAACGGCGTGAGGCTGGAAGATGGGGCAAGGCTGCATTGGCCCCTCGACCTGCAGCTAGTCCAGCTGCCGTACGCAGATCCTTCGGAAGTAACAATGAGATACTTGACCCACGCTGCTGCAATGGGGAGGGTCGAGGATGTTGAGAGCTTGTTGCAGCAGCGGGTAAATCCAGACCTGGTCCCAATTTGGACTTGCACCCCGCTTGTTCAAGCATGTTACTATGGGCACACAAACGTTGTACGCTTGCTTCTAGAAGCTCGCGCCAACACACAGAAAACGGCTGTGCAGAACTGCTGGCTGGCCAATGAGCAGGGCGTCGTTCACCGTCTGGGGCCTCAGCCGGGCATGCTCTTTGGGACACCTATGCATGTGGCTCTTTCTATGTGCCATTTTGAAATAGTGGACGAGTTGACGGACGAGCTCTGCTTGCAAAGATCTGCAACACTTGGGGAGACACAGGTTCCATAACTCGTTATGGCTTAGCGCGCACAGGCTAGGCCGAACTTCCTGTTAAAGGAACTTGCGTTGGGCCTGATGAAACAGTACTCACAGTTATAAGGGTCGCTGACAGTTTGCAATATGGGCCTTCTAGAACTACTGCATAGGCTACCCATTAGATCTTGGCAGCACCTGTGCCCCTACAACCCTAAACCTTAACCTTAGCCCTACAGCAAAGCCTACACCCTAAACCATCCTAAACCCTAAGCCCTAAGCCCTAAACCCTAAACCTTAAACCCTAAATACTAGTGGTGTATTGTTTCTTCAGACCTGGACATGGGCTGCTTCCCTCTGGATGTCAGCCAGGCCGGCAGCATGACAAAAATCATGCTTGCGAGTGAACGTGGGGTTCAGGGTTTAGGGAATCGCCCGGCAACATGCTCAGCCCGGTTGCAAAAAAGGGTTAAAGACTGAGGGTTTAGGCTGTTAGGGTTTAGGACTTAGGGTTTTAGGTTTTGCGGTATCCACATTGGACCACTGTTTTCTTCTTGAACTCCCCGTGGAAGCAGATTGCTGCATAGATGTTACGCCCGCCTTGTATGGGGTTGTAGGCCATTATAGGGTCAAGACGATGTCTGAGCCCAGCAGGCACTATGGATTTTAGTAGTTGGCATGGCAAATACATCAGTACCAAAAGTTGGCGGCCTGAGCAACTGCTAAGTACAGCCATATTTGCCCTTGCGGCACTGAGTCATCTACATGCAGGTATCGCCGCATCACCCACAAACTTCCTGACCCCTCAGTCATACTCTTAAGCGGCAATACAGCGCCCTAATGACGAGTGTATATTCTTGATGTTGCCGAGCATGCCAGGTTTTATTTGCGACCCAGGCTGAAAAATCCACGTACTGCCCCTATGCCGCCAACAAAGGACATTACAAATACTGTGCGACTACATTGGGCTGTTTATTATCAGGATGGCATCAATCTCTAGAATCCTAGTTTCCATTCCATGTTCAATTTCGAATTTCCATGTGATTCTCCATAATCACCGTAACCCCTAAACCGTCTAAACCCCAAAGCCTAAATTTTGTACATCCCTACGGTTGATATTAAACACCCTTCCTGATCTTAGCAGACTGTAGTACGACAATTCCTGAAGTTTAGGGTGCCTAGAACCCCCCAAACCCTAAACCGCTAACCCCTAATCCCTAGACCCCTAATCCGTCAACCCTAAAGCCCTTTAAACCCCAAACCCTGAACTCAACTCTTACCCCGAAACTCCGAATCCGCAAGCCAAACACTAAATCCCCAGTCGCTAAGCCCTAAGCCCTAAACCCCTAAATCTCTCATCCCTAAACCCTAAATCCTAAGTACCTAATCCCTAAACCCAAAATCCTAAATCCCGAAATCCCTAAATCCTTAAACCCTAAACCCTAAGCCCTATTCTCTTAATCCTGAGCAGGAGAGCTACCAGCGACGTGAACGACACCAAGCCTTAGTGGAGGCTCGCAGCCGCAGGTATCTGGGGATCTCTGAACCGAAAGCCCTCAACTGTTTAAAGTTTAGAAGTTCGGGTTTAGGGCTTAGGGCTTAGAGTTTAGGGTTTAGGGCTTAGGGTTTAGAGTTTAGGGTTTAGGGTTTAGGGTTTAGAGTCTAGGCTTTCCAACAAAAGGCGCCTGATTTTCGGGAACCCCCATCTAGACAAGGGGATGTCCCGGATGAATTAGTTTCGAGTTCAGGGCTTTTACGGTTATAGTAGTTCCCTACACCCTAAACCCTAAACCACGGGTTCATGGTTCCGGTTTGCAGGTGCATCCGAACCTTGGCTTTTGCGATGACCTTTTCTTGGGAAAGCTGTGTGGTTATTTTTTTTCTGCGTGCATCAGCATGCGCGGTGCCGTGTTGGGGCCAGCGTGAGTAGGACTTCAGAACTCAATCCTACACCCTAAGTGGGGTTCCCACTGAAGCATGGAGCAAAGCCCCAGGCCCATGCCCAGACTCCAAACCTAAACTTGGGTTCTATACTGGGGTCGCCCCCATTCTTGGAAACTACCATGTGAAGGTTCAGGGGTAATGATATGGTGCATGTTACCCAAAGTCCTCTAAAGTTTGCATTACTACCGGTGAGCCTCCACGTAACCCATTGCTCCTGTACCGAGACCTTAGCTTAGCTCACGGTGTCTCCCTAACGGCGTTGCCACGTTTTCAAAGGCCTCTTCTTGAGAAGATTGAGATTACCATCAGAACATTGTGATTAGCAATCCTTTGGATGATCAGGGTGCACTTAAGGTGCGACTTCACAATTCCATAGGAAGCGTGGAGAACCCAAATGGAAGTTTCTCAAAAGCGAGAAGCGTCCCCGATCTTCCCCCGGATCCCAAGTGTGTTCTCATCCTGCGACTGAGTTACCGGTTTCCTGAGAGGGCTTGCGGAACTGAATCGTTCGTGTGATGCTTTGGCTCAAGCTTCTGCATAGTGTCTTCGGTTCAGGGTTTACGGTCTTTTCTTCATGGGGCTCAGCTTTGTTGAGATAAAATAGAGCCCTTTTTTAGACCTTTTCGTGCGGAAGATTCCGATTTGCATTTAGGATGAACCAATACGGATAAGATCGAATTCGTGTTGGGGTTCACCAAATAGCGCACTACTTAAATGGGTCCAGGTATCGTCCATGAACCCGAAATCCCCCTCTCATTTTTGTTGAGTCCTGTGGGCAAACTGACCAAAACGGACTTTGTTTTTGAGAAACCCTAACCCCTACAAACCCCTATATAACCCCAGCTTCCATTTCAGTTTCCATTTTCTTTTCCATTTGAATCGGGGATAAGGCATCCCAATATTTTCGAACCCCTGTTCTCACCTGTCCGGCGTGATGGCAAAGCCGAACAGAGATGCAGTTGTGTTCGACGGAGAAGAGTTCCGAGCCTCCCTGCATTCAGGGTTTAGGGTTTAGGGTTTAGGGAAGGAACTTGATTTAAGTTACTATATGGGGCAAACCGTATTATTTACTGTATATACCCATTATGATAGCCTAATCTAAGTTCCTTAACAGCAACATACAGCAACCCAGATTGAGGGTTTTAAAGATGCCTGAAGGTAGTGCATCCAGAAAAAGGACACATTTCCTGTAGAAGGGTTTTGGGATTCTACAGGGTTTCAGGGTTGCGTTGTCCAACTTGGGGGATTCAAATGGAAAAGAACATGGGAAAGTGAAATGGAAACTGGGCTTACATAGGGGTTGTATATGTATATGAGTTATAGTCTCAACTCCTAGTATCCCCCTTAGAAACCCCTAAAATACTCTCCTGTTTAATCCCTATACATTCCCTGGAAGGATTTTAGACTTACCTATCGGGACTGTTTTGAGAAGCTCCCATGCGATAGAAGCCGCCAGCCATCACAGAAGGGCCTGTGCGTTTGCAGTCGGAGAGAAGGTTTCATTTACCTTCTTTCAGGGTTATTAGAGCCAGGTTAGACCCATCCGGTGGTATGCCAGGGATTTAAAGGAACAGGAATACAATTCAAATTTTCCTTTCTGGGCTCTATAAGTGATGTGTGCCAGGGGCAGTCGCTTCATGTCAGAGAAGCACAGAACGAAAGGCGTTAACGTTCCATGAGTTCAGCACTTGCCCCACCCCTTGACAGTTGGATAAGAAGTGCACCATTGGTCTATTACCCTGAATAGTACACTTGCCAAAAACCAGGTGGGAGACGTACCCAATCCTTACGATGAGAAGCCCTAGCAAGGCCCTAGCACAGTACTCGATGCCTCAGCTCAAATCCTTGTTAGTTATATAGAGGTCATATAGGGGTAACGGAAAAGAAAATGGAAACTACTACAGTATATAATAGGGAACATAGGGGACAGAAGGTTTAGATGTGGGGAATGAACAATAAGATTGAAAATCCTAAGCCCTAAACCCTAAACTACTATAATGGGTCATTTCATTTAAGCTCGAACCGCCTCAGAGCTTCACTAAGTGCCAGGTACCAAACAATATGGGGAGTTCCGAAAATTACGGATTCCTTTTTTTGGCTGGGTTCTTACAAAAAAGAGATTATAGCACATTGTGGCCTTTCATGTGGTCCCCTAGTTCCATGTCAGTTTGCATTGTGTTTTCTGTTTGATCTTCCATTATGGCTTTCTCCATTTTTTTCTATTCTTTCATTCCGGCCAGCCAGGGATATATCCCTAACCTCAAGCCCTAAAAAGTAATTCCATTTTCTTTACCATAACCACTGGTATAATATGACTTTTCCACAACTTCCATCACGGCAGTGGCCCTCCCAGACTTCGAAGTCTTTAGCCGGGAGCCCTAAAGCATGCAGCTACAATGGTATAGGGGCCCCCACATGGGTGATTGTTGAAATTATGGTCTCTTTTTGGATCCCTATTATAATACGGCACCTAATATTTAGGGTACCCAAAAGGGGACCATAATTTTGACAACCACCCACATATTACGGACCTTATTGAGGGTTATTGGCGGCTATTAGGGCTTATTCAGGCTATTAGGACTTATTAGGCCTTGTTACTTTGGGGGGGACGCATATGATTCAGGGGGGCCTCAATAGTTCTATCACGAAAGCCATTGCAAGTTGGTGTCCGGTGTCCTCATGCGCCGATTTTCAACCCGTACACTCCGTGGATGGCAGAAACCCTGCATCACTTCGGATCCCGAATATATTGTGCAATTCCAGGTATCCGGTATACAAAGCGGTGCAATCTCCCCGCCCACATCCCCGAATGTGAAAGAATCTGCTTCCACATTTGTGGTAGCATGAGGAATTTCGACGCGGGACGTCCGTGGCCACCTTTTGATGCCTCCTTGGGTCGGTGCCTGCGCTTGCAGCGCTTAGGATTTATATGAGCTATAGTCTAGACTCCTAGTATCCGCCTTAATATGCCTTGTAATAGGAACCCTATGTAGTTCCTTATATGACCCCTTTCAGGGAGTTTAGACCCTAAACCCTACACCCAAATCCCCTACAGAACTCCCTTTAAGGAGCTTAGACTACAGCTCATCACT